CGTCAGTCTTGATCATTTCAAGCATCAACTGATCAGTGTGTGTAAATATCTTAGACCAACATTAGATCTTTCAACGGCTAAGCAGTTCAACAATAATGTCTCAGATTTTAAAGCCTGATGACTCAGGTTCGAATGCATTAAGAAGTATCATTTCTCTGACAAATCCAGGTTATACTGGGTAGTGATTACCAGATAGCATAAAGTCTAATTTGATTATATTTTACTGATTGCCTTCAATTACCAAACATTAAAAAAAAACTGGACAAGACAAAACATTATGCGAAAGTTTACAATTTAATGGATTTTATATCTCTCTAATTAATGTATCTTATATTACTATTGAATATGTTCAATACATATGGTGTTCATTTTATTAATTAGTTTTCATAGGATATCAGATAAATGATCTAATTGAATTAATATTTCAATCAATCTTATAATTTTATTTAAGGCTATTTTATTAAAATAGTTTTATGATATAAAATTATTATATAGATGAGATCATGAGTCAATTGAAGGTAGACCACCATGGAAAACCTGGAAGCATTGCTCGACGGCCGTTTCGTACTATTGCGGGACTCCTCAGCAGTGAGCATCCACGATCCCACCTCGCAAGATTCGAACCGAGGACCTATCAGTCTTGCGCGCGAGCACTTAACCACTAAACCACTGAGTCGGCATCTATGGCAGTCTAGTTTCAATTGACTCATGATTTTAACTATATAACAACTACTAAAATCTCCACAAAACCTTCTTGTGATATAAAATTATGTTGATTACTTTTCTTTCATTCTCTAAGTAATATAAACATTCATGCATAAAATCAATTTCACACGATATAAAAAAGTATCCATTTGATTCCATTTGATTTTGCTGTATAATTGAGGGTTAATAATTATAGTATATAGAGACAAGTCAGATAGAATAAGAAACGAGACTTTTTGAGTTTTTTTTTAAGGAAAATACAAGTAACAAGAAAAATGAATAAAAGAGTAAAAATCATAATGTTAAATGTGGTTCGAATCTCGCGAGGCAGGATCGTGGATGCTCACTGCTGAGGAGTCTCGTAATAGGACTAAACGGCCGTCCAGTGCTTCCATGTTTTCCATGGTGGTCTAGCTTCAATTGACCCATGGTTTCAACTATGAAAACGATAAATGTATCACATGTTTAATTCTTTCTTTTGTGAATTATTTATAACACGCAAATCCCAATCTTCAAACAAACCTTAAAGTGAATGTATTATTGCTATCATAAGAACTCATTAAATGGAATCCCTTGGATTTCTGCAATCAATTCATCTATATAAGTGAATAAAAAGTGTTTCCTGTTATAACTAATATCAGTTTATAACAACTCTAACCTTAAACTAGTATTCCCAACATTTAGTTCTTAACTCTAGCTAAAAATCATTTGGGGAATATGAGTTTTTCTCGGATCGCTATAAAAGTAAGAAAACATAGCGAATTGCTATCCATAGGGATAAATTTATAGAACATTCTTTTTTCACTTGCAAGACAGAGTAATGTTTAGAGGACTTTGATAGATTCGTTGATTAAAACTTATTTAAAACTTATTGTATCATAATTTACTTTTACACAAACGCGCGTCCTGGATTCCACTATTAGCCATTATCCGTCTTTGCTTACAATGCTTGTGAATTAAGGCTATATCGAGACAATACGCACAGTATGCACATATGTCAATAAGAGACTGACCAGTTGCAGTCATAAACATCAATGGGAAGATTCAAACAAACATAACTTAGTGAATTTAAACTTCACTCCATTGCATAAGCAAGTGGCTGTCAGGACTCACTAGCTGAGTGGATGACGCGATGGTGTTTGAAGCGAAATGTACTGGTTTCGAATCACAGAGTGAACATCAACTCTGAGACGCAGGTACATCTAGGTGACCAGTTCCAAGTAGGAAGAAACGCGCATCCCGGATTCCACTGCTAGCCACTATCCATGTTTGCTTATAAAGTAATTAATTATACTGAAATATTATAATTTTCTTTTAATTCTTTAAATTATCTACTAACTCCAATCATTAAGACAAAATAGTGAACAAATGAAAAACATGATTGACGGAAATATACCATTACATGTTAGTTATTATTTGATACCATCACCTCTATACTTGTTTTATCACTATTTTCATAACCTGAGATCCCATTATATGCTATCGGTAACTAGTATAAGTTGAATAGATAAAACTACTCAATTAAACTATGATATAAATTGAGTAAATAGAATGATATAAAGGTTTGTTTAGCTTAGATTAATCTAATTACAAAACTTCAGCCCATGCATACATACATTGGACGTGTCATGGTTTCTAACAAAACACAACACTATTTATCTATTAAAATATAATTCTCAAATGTTATTTGTTATCAGTTACAAAACACTCCATCTAACAATAAACTTAAATAAATTACTTGAAATGTTATTCATGTTTGAAAGTTATTTGCTATTCATAGATAAACTATATAACTATATAAATGATTGGATAGTGACAAGCAGTGGAATCCAAGATGGGCCTTTTGTTCTCGTCAGTTGGATGTACCTACATCACTCTGAGACACGAGTCTAGTACCATTTGCTTCAAACTCCATCATGTTGTCCAATGAGGTACTGAGTATTGAAGCGAACAGTACTGGGTTTGAGTCCCACAGTGAATACCAACTCTGAGATGTAGGTACATGCAGCTGACCAGTTCCAAATAAGACGAAACGCTTGTCCTGGATTCCACTGCTAGCCACTATCCATCTTTGCTTATTAAACTTGTGACTTAGGCGATATCGAGGAAGTCCGTACAAGATGCAAATACGCCAACAAGAGACTGATCAATTGCAGTCCTAAATAACAATGAGAAAATACAAGTAAACAACACCAAGTGAATGTATAAATGATTGTTTAGTTGTTCAAATTCCAGTCTCTTGAACTCTAATTATTACTTGGCTTCGTTCATCAGGTCTTGGAAAATCAACTGCTGAGCTCAATTCTCACATATAGGATCGTGAATGCTCACTGCTGAGTAGTCCTGTACTCAGATAAAGATCATCCAATGCTTTCAAGTTTTTAATGGTTATCTAACTTATTTCGATTCATGAATTCAACTTTGATAGATACATAAAATGCAACAAGAAATATATGTTTAACCTCCATACATTTTCAGAAGGGGTTTTTCTGGAGATTTAGTATTTTCATAGTTGAAAGCGTGAGTCAATTGAATCAAGACCACCAGGGAAAACTCCTTCTGATAATAATAATCATATGCTCACTAGTGACTGACTTCAAGAGGTAAATTCAGGAGTTCTAGTGAAAAGCAGCGACCAGTGGAGTTCAACAACGTCTGTTGTGAGATAGAAACTCACTGAAGACAATTAATGAACGGTTGCTCAAACTTCATGGATTGGTTGAAGTTAGACATAAACACCATCGGATGCCGGCTACATACATTTGCTTACTAAACAAAAAGTAGGTAACTGCTATCATCAATTTGTATCTATTCAATCAAACACTGTAATTTTCAATAATATAAAAAGTATAAGGAAAGATATTTAGAATGAAAATTTAGTTATTCTATCATGACTTTTTAATAACAGTCTGTACGATACTACTTATTTGTTAATGTTAAAAATGCACACACAAAAAGATATATGATTTGGATAATTTTTGTTTATACACTGTTGTATTGCTTATTTAAAAAAACTCAACATTACTCTCATCACTATATTATCATCATTATTTGACTGATTTTAACATTGTCAGCATTTGAAGGGTATGTTTTTTGGTCATATTTAAACAAAATGTATGCCCATCAAGTATATCCATGTATATCCCTTATTACAACAAATACTGCTCATTCATTAGTTCTATATGATATAATATTTCATTCAGCATACAATTCATTATGATTTGTCACCATCAATCATTTGAAATGGGTGTATGATATTGAAAAATGGTTCGAATACTTTGTAGAATCAGGGAACACTAGCATACAAATATCTTTTAATAATAGAACCCATAGGTAAAAAAAGAAGTAGAGAATGACGGTTGTTATGAACGGTATGATTTGATTGCGTGCAGATTAAGTGTAATATGAGACTTTAAAACTGGCTAGTTAGAGAAAGAGAATCTTTTCACGGTAGATTGTCATGTGGTCTGGTGCACATGTTTGACTGAATGCCTTCAGCTATTTTATGTCCAGCGAAATCAATTTGGTCAGGAATCTTCAACGGACATAGGTGGTAAGATGAGATTGAAAAAAATGATTAGGTGTAGTATTGTTTATTTTAACTATTACAATACAAACTTGATAACATAGAAATTGTCTGTTTGATATGTATTTTATCAGATTAATTCGCCAGCTGATCTAAGCTAGACCTCCATTGAAAACCTGGAAGCACTTGGAGGCCATTACGTCCTAGTATGGAACCGCTCAGCGGTGCGCGTCCACATTCCTGCATATGGGACTCGAACTCATGACCTTTGGTTTTGTGAGCGAATGTTTAACCTCTAAACCACTGGGTCGGCATCAAATTGTGTTAATATTTAACTTTGATCTATCTATGATCTTACTCAATTCTTCTAACTTAAATCGAATCATGAATTTAACTGTTAACGTACTACGGTCTCCGCGCTCATGATATACATGTAATAGTTTACATTCCATTTGTTACTAGACTGCTGTGTTTTTCATTTGTATCATTGTCTGACTTAATTTCTATATTATTAACATCTATTAGTTTATTATTCTGAGTTTACCATAAATCCGAATATACATCATAAGGAAATAATTTCATCGAAAAAAGAAGATTTTCTAGCACTGAATTCTCTTTCCATCTATTTTTTTTATTTTTCAAATCTTTCAGTTACGTCCCTATAAGAATGATGAATGATAACTTTGGGATCCATTATTGAGTTATCCCTTGTCCATTAATTGCTACCTCCCACATTCAAAAGCCACATTTGACTAAATCTTATACAAATGTTATTTTCTATTTTATTGGTACGATGTGGTCAGTCTGTTAGTTATATAAACTCAATATGTTTGAAATATAAGGATTCATACCACAGAGGCTGTTCTGGATTTAACTGACTGAGCTAGGCAGAAGCAAGACAGATACGTACTCTAGACTGCTCGTACAGTTTTCGTGTGTCATTATTCTAATCAATAATTCGCTGCTCTTTAATTAATGGTCTTATCACATCATACATTTAATAGGGCATCCACTCGGCCATAAGTTATAACAGTTTCCATTGGTTATTTCTATTATATGTATAGATTATTTATTAGTTTTTATTTGGAAAAACATAATAAAATGCAAGAGATGGACATTTGCTTGTTTTCTATTAAATGAATACATCATGTAAAATTGTTTCCAAGTCATCACGATACATAGTTCCAATAATTGAAAACAATAATAATAATAATAACAATACTAAGGTGTATACATTTTATTAATGTTATTATTGGGTGACCAGGTGGAGTGTTTGTTTTTCTCCAATATTAATTCCATTATAATTCATTTCAATTTGAAATGAAACGTATACATTATTGTATACCATTGGTAATTTGGTTTCTTGAATATTTTGTATCTTGTTAACATAACAGAAGCAAAATTAATTTAAGACTTTTATATAGTTGATATCATGAATCAATTTAAGCTGGACCATCATGAAAAACTTGGAAGCACTGCTCGATGGCCGTTTCGTTCTATTGTGGGACTCCTCATCAATGCGTATCCACGATCCCGACTCGCGAGATTTGAACCCTGGACCGACCATTCTCGCGCCAGAACACTGAACCATGGTAGCCTAACTTCAATTGACTCATGATTTCAACTATGAAAATACTGAATTCTCCACAAAACTCCTGATTATTTAAGACTAATATATACAAGTACCATTATTTGATACGTTTTAATAATACTTAAGCTTAAATTGTAATGAGTAAGATAATAAAATATTTTATTTTAAGCTTAAAGTGAATGAGAACTCAATCAATTTATCAAGGGAATGAAACGTCTATTGATTAGGATCAACCATGGGAACTGTCATATATAGTTAATTCTTATTGTTTTATCATATTAGGAATAATAAAAAATGATGGTTTTCTATATCTCCGACTAAAATTACTAACATGTAAATTATGGAGAACTTTTGGTTATTTGATAAACTATTTTACAAAATTCAAAGCAACGTAGATACGGATGTTAGAAAGATTGGTTGATAAAAACAAACTAGCACTTTCCATCTAACCTTGTCCTTGATAATACTTCCTTGTTCTTTCCAATTGTTATTCATCATTTTCATGTCTGCCTCCAATTCCCCACGCAGTGTGTTCTTCGGCCTTCCTCATTTCCTATTCCCATCACGATTCCAAGTTAGGGTTACCTCATGATGCAGTTTGGTGATTTCCTCAATGTATGTCCTATCCACTTCCAACGTCCTTTTTTAATTTTCTCTTCAGCTGGAATTCGGTTTGTTCTCTCCCATGATTGGTTGTTACTGATGGTATCCGGTCGATGGACATTGAGTATCTTACGTAGACAACTGTGTATAAATACTTGAACATTTTTGATGATGGTTGTGGTAATTCTCAAAGTTTCATCTCCGTACAATAAGACTATCTTGACGTTCTAACAACCGGAGCAACAATTTTTATAGGTACGTGTAATATCAGGACAATGTGGGAGACCAGGAGGACCAGACAAATAGCAACGCAAATGACGAGTAACAACTTAGGAGTACTGGGAATCAATATTTTTACACATATACAGAAATAGTAAGTCAAATAAAATAGTTTAAAAGTCATTGATAACAATGAAATAGATTTTTCAACCAAACATGGTAAGTAATAAGCACAAATTGATAACAACCTTGCTATTGAATTCATGAATACCTCTCATCGTCTTTGCTAGTGGGACTGAAACAATACGCACACTTGATTGATAGCGATCATGTACAAAATCAAACCAAAGCATATTACCAAATAAGGCAGTTTATGAGTCAAAGATAACAATGAAATAGATCATATAACCACACATCATAAGCATGAAGTACAAATTGTAGAAAGTACTGTTCACAAGATGGTATATCAAAACATTAGTGAAAATATGATAAAAAGTAAATTTAAAAACAAGTGGTTATTGAGTCTAACGAATTCTTACCCCAATATGGTTAATTGAACTTCCGTAGGGTTAATGATAAACATAATTTTGACTGTAAAAGGGTAATTCATGGATAACCATGACTCTTGATAGTATTTCACTATAGATGTTCAATTAGACAACATCGAAAGTAGGTAGTAAGGAGAACAGTAGGCAAGACATTGATTATCCACTAGTGATGGAACTACTGAACTATATATTTCTCTTAAGCATGAACTAAGAACTGTATAGATAAGCTATTTTGTCAAATTAATCATCAGAACATAAAACCAACTACTGAAAAGAATTATGATCGATTTAAGTAATAACAACGAAGATAGGCAATGAACAAAGGAAATGGAATAATAAGAAGGGAAAATTAAAAATATTTTTATAAGATACTTAGTTTTTACAACTTCGCAGATGATCTAGACCTCTTATACCACACACTCGAACAAATACAGACGAAAGTAACAAATGTAGCACCTGCCTCTTCATCAATAGGCCTCAACATACACAAAGGAAAAAGCAAGTTTCTCAAATACAACACGGAGAAAACCAACTCAATCAAACTTGATAGCGAAACTCAGGAAGAGGTGGCAAAATTCACGTACCTGGGAAGCATCATTGATAGACAAAGAGGATCGGATGCAGATGTAAAGTCGAGGATTGGAGAAGCAAGGACAGCATTTCTACAATTGAACAACATATGGAACTCAAAACAACTCTCAACTAACTTCAAAGTGAGAATCTTCAATACGAACGTCAAGATAGTTCTAATGTACGGAGCGGGACGGGATGGTGGATGCGCACTGTTGAGAAGTCCCACAATAGGACGAAACGACCGTCCAGTGCTTTCAATTGGTGGACTAGCTTCCATTGATTCATAATCTCAACTATTAAAAATTATTGAAATTTGTCTATCAATCACAATATTGTTAACCATACAATAATTAAATTTTGTAAATGAATATTTTCAGTTCAATGGTTTTGCCGTAATATTCTAGTGTTTCAATTTTTTTAAGTTTTAAACCAATAATTTTTATTTAAATAAATTGAATAATAAAATTGACAAGGTACATGGTTAAAAATATGTTAGATATTTGAGAAGAATAGGATGGATCGATTTTATTTCAACCTGTGATATCTAAGAGTTATGGAGTATAACAGAAGCTCCCCTAAAGCTAGTCGTTGTTGTCCAACCTGCGTCCAATGTGTCTCACTGATTCCAAGCACCCTCAGGTTGTATTTTCTCATTTTTGCAGCAATTTGGAAGACTCTTCCGGTTTCCCACATTGTCCGGACATTCCATGTACCTATAAAAATTGTTGCTCTGGTTGTTAGAAGGTGCATCGACCTCATGACTTCCGAAGGTACTCGGCTTTCATCATGAGACGTCATAATTATTCCTTCAACTCCCAGGGCGGAGTTTAAATGGTTTGAATAATTTTTTGTGGTTAGCTTCTTTTTTTAGCGAGTTGGTTTCCTACAGGATGGGGTCGCTAACCCCATGCCCAACCCTCCTCCTTTACCCGTGCTTGGGACCGGCAGTAACCCCCAGATGAGCTACAGGCGGACCTAACCCTTTAATCGATTCATTGTCTTGCGTCACCATCCACCATTGTCTTCAGTCAGCCACTGGCCCACAGCAGACACGGTTAAACTCCACTGCTCAAGGCTTCTCACTAGAACTCCAGAAAATACCTCTTAAAGCCAGTCACTGGTGAGCATATGATGATCTAAAATTAGATTAACTATGAATAAAATAACTGAACCATTAACTTTGTCAGGTAAAAAAGCAGTTCTGGTGATTGCTCATAAATTAATAACTTTACCTGGTGTTTTTTTAGGATTACTGCAGGTCCCAAGCCTGGATAAAGAAGGAGCGTTGATTGCACAGTTAAGTGTTCCATCTTTTTAAGAAAGAACCTCTCTACAAAATAATAACAAGAAAAAGTCGTTTAAACTTTTCCCTGAGAATTGAAAGATCATAATGTACAAGAATAACGTCTATCGGTTAAGTGCTCTGGCGAGAGATTGTTAGGCCCTGGGTTCAAATCTCGCCAGTGCGAGATCGTGGATGCACACTGTTGAGAAGTCCCACAATAGAACGAAAAGGCCGTCAAGCAGTGTTTCCAGGTCTTCCTTGATGGTCTAACTCCAACTGACTCATGATTTCAATCATGTATAAAAATAAGCTTAACAATGAAATTTCGAGAACCAGATCCTTTTCGTTGAACTCCCTTGTTGTTGTTGTTGTTTTTTAATGAAGTAATTCATTTAAACATATTTGTATAGTTTATGCATGAATGATTATACTTTTTTTAAATAAAAAAATAAAAAAATTAATATATCAGGTCATATTTAATGTCATAAATAATCATAATGGAATAATTCGAATTGTCCTTAATTTAATAAATAAATAAATAAAAAAGTACAGTGATTTTACAATTTTTGTTGTATTTTTTTAAATTAAAAAAAATTTGGAAGGCAAACGTTTTTTTGTTGTTACGTTACGCTTCATAATTAGATTATATTCTATGAACAAGGAGAATCATAAATTCATTTGGTATTGTTTTTGTTTGAATCTTCTCATTGATGTTTAGAACTGTAATTGATCAGTCTCTTATTGGCATATATACATACTGTGATTATTGCCTCGATAGGATGAACTGGCGCATGTCCTGGATTCCACTGCTAGTTATTATCCATCTTTGCTTATAAGAAGAATTATAGTTAGTATTCCTTGGATCTTAAATAAAATAAAAATTAGATTACTTACTTACTTACTTACTTATGCCTGTTACCCTCAATGGAGCACAGGCCGCCGACCAGCATTCTCCGATATGTCCTGGGCCTTCTATTCTAGTTTTATCCAATTGTTGTTCATTCTTCTTACGTCTGTCTCCATTTCTCGACATAATGTGTTCTTT